TTACTTCTTTGATTAAATTTATTCCTAGGTATCTCAATTTTTTTTTGCCGCAATGATAAATGGGATTGTTTTTTTAGTTTCTCTTTCTGTGAGTTCATCATTGGTGTTTAAGAATGCCATCGATTTCTTGACATTAATTTTGTATCCTGCTCCTTTGTCAAATTCATTTATTAAGTCTAGTAAATTTTTGATGGAGTATTTGGGATTTTTTATACGTATAGTATCATGTCATCTGCGAATAATGAGTTTCACTTCCTCCTTTCCAATTTGGATCTCTTTTATTTTTTCTTCCTGTCTGATTGCTGTGGCTAAGACTTCCAATACTGTGTTAAATAAGAGTGGCAAAAGTGGACATCCCTGTCTTGTTCCTGTTCTTAAGGGAAATGTTTTTAGTTTCTGCCCATTGAGTATGATGTTACCACATGTCTTTTGATTGGAGCATTTAAGCCATTTACTTTTAAGGTTATTATTGATAGATACTTATTAGTTGCCATTTTTATTTTACCTGTCCCCCCTCCCCCCAACTTTACTTCTTTTTTTTCTTTTTACAATATTTCTTGCAGTGCTGGTTTGGTGGTGGAAACATTCAAGCACATGTAGGCTAAATGGCATGTTACTAAACAATGAATGGATTACCAAGGAGATCAAGGAAGAAATTAAAAACTTCCTAGAAACCAATGAAAATGATGTGTTTTCAACACAAAATTTATGGGATACAGCGAAAGCAGTCCTGAGAGGGAAGTTCATAGCACTACAGGCCTACCTCAAGAAACAAAAAATGTCTAATTGACTATCTAACCTCACAACTTAAAAAACTAGAAAGCAAACAAAAAGAAAACCCCAGAGCAAGTAGAAGGGAAAAACTAGTAAAGATCAGAGCAGAAATAAACAACATAGAGACCAAAAAAACAATTCAAAAGATCAATGAAACAAAGAGCTGGTTCTTTGAAAAGATAAACAAGATTGATGGACCCTTACAGGACTCACCAAGAAATAAAGAGAGAGGACCCAAATAAACAAAATCAGAAATGAAAGAGAAGAAATAACAACTGATACCACAGAAATACACAGGATTGTTAACAAATACTATGAACAAATACAATGACATATTGGCCAATCTAAGCAAAATGGAAAATTTTCTAGAAACACATAGTCTCCCAAACCTGAACCGGTAAGAGATAGAAAACTTGAACAGACCAATAACAACAAGGAAATTGAAGATATAATTAAGACTCTCCCAACAAACAAAAGCCCAAGCCTGGATGGCTTCACGGGGGAGTTTTACCAATTCTTCAAAGAAGAACTAATATCCATTATCCTCAAATTATTCCAAGAAATTCAAGAATAAGGAAGACTTCCAAACTTGCTTTATGAGGTCAGCATAAATCTAATTCCAAAACCAGATAAAGACACTATAAAGAAAGACAACCACAGGCCAATATCCCTGATGAACATAGATGCCAAAATCATCAACAAAGTATTAGCAAATCGGATCCAGCAACACATTTAAAAAATTATTCACTATGACCAAGTGGGATTCATAGAGGGATGCAAGGCTGGTTCAAAACTCACAAATCAATAAATGTGATATACCACATAAACAAAATAACAGATAAAACCATATGATCTTATCAATAGACGCTGAAAAAGCATTCGACAAAATCCAGCACCCATTTCTGATAAAAACGCTCAGCAATGTGGGAATAAAGGGATCATATTTCAATATAATAAAGGCCATATATGAAAAACCTACAGCCAACATCATACTCAATGGGCAAAAACTAAAAACATTTCCCTTAAGAACAGGAACAAGACAAGGATGCCCACTTTCACCACTCTAATTTAACACAGTACTGAAAGTCTTAGCCACAGAAATTAGACATTAAGAAAAAATAAAAGATGTCCAAATTGGAAAAGAGGAAGTGAAACTGTCATTTGAAGATAACATGATATTGTACATAGAAAATTCTAAAGACTCCATAAAGAATCTACTAGATTTAATAAACAAATTTGGCAAGGTAGCAGGATACAAAATTAACATCAAGAAATCGATGACATTCTTAGACACCAATAATTAATTCACGGAAAGAGAAACTAAAAAAAAAAAAAAATCCCATTTACCATTGTGGCAAAAAATTAAGATACTTAGGAATAAACTTAACCAAAGAAGTAAAGGACCTATTTGCAGAAAACTGCAGGACATTGGAAAAAGAAATAGAGGAAGATATGAAGAAGTGGAAGCACATACCTTGTTTATGGATTGGAAGAATTAACATTGTTAAAATGTCCATACTACCCAAAGCAATCTATAAATTCAATACAATCCCCATAAAAATACCAATGACATACTTCACAGAACTAGAATAAATACTTCAAAAGTTTACATGGGACCATAAAAGACCCTGAATAGCCACAGCAATCTTGAAAAAGAAGAACAAAGTAGGAGAGAGCACAATACCGGATAACAGATCATACTACAAAGTCACTGTAATCAAAATAGCCTGGTACTGGCACAAGAACAGGCATATTGATCAATGGAACAGAACAGAAAACCCAGAAATGGACCCAAGACATTATGCTCAATTAATATTTGACAAAGGTGGCAAGAGCATAAAGTGGAGTAAAGACAGCCTCTTCAATAAATGGTGTTGGGAAAATTGGACAGCTACATGCAAAATTATGAAGCTAGACCACCAACCTACACCATACACAAGAATAAACTCAAAATGGATAGAAGACTTGAATGTGACGTGTGAATTCAAAAAATCCTAGAAGAAAATGTAGGCAGCAAAATTTTAGACATCATACACAGCAGAATTTTCAGTGATACAATGCCAAAGGCAAGAGAAACAAAGGAAAAAATGAACACATGGGACTACATAAAACTAAAAGTCTTCTGCACAGCAAAAGAAACAACATCAAAATGGAAAGAGAACCCACTGTATGGGAGAGCATAATTGCCAATGATATATCAGATAAGGGGTTAATTTCCAATATATATATAGAGTGCTCATACAACTCAGCAAAATGAAGACAAAGAACCTAATTAAAAAATGAGCAGAGGACCTAAATAGATACCTCTCTGAAAAGGACATACAAATGGCCAAGAGACGTATGAAAAAATGCTCAAAGTTACTAATCATCAGAAAGATGCAAATTAAAACAACAATGAGGTATCACCTCACACCTGTCAGAATGGCTGCCATCAACAAATCATCAAATAACAAGTGCTGGCGAGGGCCTGGAGAAAAGGGGACTCTTGTACACTGCTGGTGGGAATGCAGACTGGTGCAGCCACTATGGAAAACAATATGGTGTTTCCTCAAAAAATTAAAAATTGATCTGCCATTTGACCCAGTGATCCCACTTCTAGGAACATATCCTAAGAAGCCTGAAACACCGGTCAGAAAGAATATATGTACCCCTATGTTCATAGCAGCACTATTTACAATTGCTAAGATCTGGAGCAGCCCAAGTATCCAACAGTAGATGAGTGGATAAAAAAGCTGTGGTACATATACACAATGGAGTACTATGTAGCTGTAAGAAAGAAAGATCTCTTATCCTTTGAGATGACATGGAGGGAACTGGAGAGTATTATGCTAAGCGAAATAAGCCAGTTAGAGAAAGACAGATACCACATGATCTCTTTTATTTGTGGAATATAATGAACAAAATAAGCTGATGAATAAAACAGACCCGGAGACATAGAAAAAAGTAGGGTTCAGACTGACAGACCTCAGAGAAGAGGGGTTGGGGGGATAGATGAGATGAACCAAAGAACTACATGCTTGTACGTGTAACCAATGGACATAGACAACAATTTGGGGGCAGTAGGGGTGGGGGCAGGATGGGGAGGAGGGTGTCTATGGAGGGAAAAGGAGAAACATCTGTAACAAAAATAAATCGATAAAAATTGAAAAAAAAAAAAAAATGCTGCCTAAATATGGAGTGGATAATTTGTTGCTTTTGTTACTTCACGGTCTGATGAACTCTATGTTTGAGGTTAATTTCCCATTTTGAAATCTTTGTGGGAGGCAGGACTATACCTTCTATAGAAGTTGCAAGGAGTAGGCATTTCTCAGGTCCTGCAGCTTATATCTTGGGTGCCTGGCCTTGGCTTTGTTCATGAACTGCTCCCTACTGAGACTTAGAATCTTGAGGAGTGACCAGGGATGACTTTGGTTAATGTGACTCCAGTTATATTTGCTAAAACATATGTTTCATCTCTACATATAACTCTACATCTACCATTAGATGACCTCAAGTTTCTTGAGGCAATTAACTATAAATAATTATGTTTTCCTTGGCTTGTATTGGTTTCAGAGAGGCATTTATTCTGAAAATATGATCTTTCTTTCAAATATGTTGTTAGAACACCTTCATTTTCTCTGGGCAAAAAAAGTTCATAGAATATAATTTATAGTGTGTATACATGTATATATAATAGTTAATTAAATCGTGCTGAAATCAAGATGATTGTAGAACTATGACTCAATAAATTGCTCTTAGGAATCATTTTTAGCAAAACTTTATTAATGCCATACAATTTGCAGCTGGGAGCAAGAAGGTAGTCTCAGGAGCTTTTTTGTTTTGTTTTGTGTTTAGAAGTGAGCTATCTTAGGCTATTTATGGTGGAAGGCTGGCCAACTTTTCCTTAATAGTACCTAAGTCTGAAAAGCAATCAAGGTATTGAGCTTAGTGGGCTGAGAACTGTAAAGTGGATTCTTAAAGTTGTGAATCTTTTGGAGAGAGACAACAGAGATCTCGAAGAAAGCAGGGGCATGTGAGATACTGTCTAACTGCAGTATCTTCGTGAAACACAGAGCAATGCTGAAGGTCAACATTGTAACATAATCCTCAGAAGCATTTATGGTTTGCACTATATTTCAATTTATTTTGATAGCAATCATCATATTTATCATTGTACAAAGATATTGTAGCTGATAAAAATCAGGGAGTACCTAGCTGTCTCCCCAGGACCTCTGGTTTGGCCGAGGTTAGGTCTCAGATGGTATCTCCAGGATGGTTTCAACGCTAGTCTATGAAAATAATGGAAATAAATGTTAAAAAAAACAGAGCTAGTGGGCAACATTCATAACACTGCTCAACAGTCAAGTTATTTTATGTTTAAAGAAAAACCTGTCTACCATGACCATATATCTACCATGGCCCACCTAATGAGTCCAGAAACACCAATCAGAAAGAATATATCTACCCCTATGTTCATTGCAGTGTTATTTACATTAGTCAAGATTTGGAAGCAGCCTAAGTGTCCAATAGTAGATGAGTAAATAAAACAGCTGTGGTACATATATACAATGGAATACTACTCAGTCGTAAAAAGGAAGAAAATGTTACCCTTTGTGACAGTATGGAGAGACCTGGAGAGCATTATGCTAAGTGAAATAAGCCAGTCAGAGAAAGAAAAGTATCATATGATTTCGCTCATAAGTGGAATTTAATGAACTAACTGAACAAGCAAAATAGAGACAGGCTCATAGAAAGCAGGCAGACAGCTTTGGTGGAGGGGTGTCGGGGATGACCATGGAGGGGTTGAGCAAAAAAAAGAAAAAAAAAGAAAAGAACTCATGGACACCAGCAACAGTGTGGTGATTCCAGGGAGTGTGTGTGGGTGGAGGTGGAAGAGGGTATGGGGGGATAAATGGTGATAGAAAAAAATTACATTACATTTTGAAAAGTGTAGGAAATTCCCAAAACATGCACATAAAACCATCACTAATGCTTAGGTTCATTATATACTTAAAAAAAAAATGATGTGCATAACTTACTGCTTTATGAGAGTGAATACTCACTGTCAGAGCAAAAAAAGCAGTGACCAATGGCACATGAGCAGCCCCTCCCCCCTCCCAGTCATGGGATTGAGATAATATTCAGTGTGTATTTTAGTAAAACACAGAATGGGAGTTGTTATCAAATCATCTACTTTGTAATGAGGTACATGTATTTTCCCCTTGATTTTCCCCTTTTCTAAGACAGTAGAGCAGAGTTACATCATACTTCTATTTGCAGAGTGCAAGTAACTCCATCTTTCATTGTTCTCAATGAGTTTATGCTTCAGAGTGAGGTTTCACCCACAGTTTAAGCACCTGGCTGTGCTGAGTGTGATTCTGACATTTAAAGTATTTTCCATTCAACCTGGTTCTCCAGGGAAAGCCAACTTCTTTATTCATTGGCAACCGGGGGAACACTAATTGTTTCTAGAGCTGCAGGGGGAAAAAAAGATAACTGGCTTTGTGGGCCTTATTAAGAGATCGTGATTCTCTGTCCAGTGGGCCTGCAAATGTGGCCACAATCAATTTGGGGGCTTGAAAAAAATAAGAGGACCAGTAACTGTCAGGATGACGACTCAGGCTTATACTAAGACTTTAGCTAAGAATGAAATAGCATGAAGCTGTTGACTGGAAGATGGGAAGTGGAGGTGTCCGGGAACACGGGCAGCAGAGGCTTGGGCTTCTACAAGCGTGTGAGTCCCTGAGGAGGGGCCGGCTTTCATTGAAAAAAAATACCTGGCCAGCCAGGGTTGGTTTAGTAGTTGTAGAAGCCGAGGAGAAGCTTTTCTCCTAGAATTGGGTGAGGTTATAGAGTTCATACAAGCCACAGTTTTCTCCCGAGAGTGGGATGCATACAGAGGGCTTACAGTGGCAGAATGCAGCAAACGAACCTCCTTCTATATGTGGATTGTATTTTTTAGCTTCTGGTCTTTCTGACTAGTGGTCTGGAGAGAAATTCTGTGTCCAGAAAATTTTATGTAACTTTTTTTTTTTTTTAAAGAACTTATTGTGTATATTTGTCAAATAGAAACCTGGGCTTTAGCTTCCCTATAAATAGTTTTAGGAATTGCTTCACAAGAAACAACATGTGCCGTTTCTGCCACTGGGGAGCTCACCTGTTACAATAAGAGCAGAATCAAAGAAGCAGCAGCCACAGGGAGAACAACGTTGCTAGTATTACTGCTACTGTTTGCTAGGCATTTTGTATACATCACTTCAATCATTACAACAATGCTGACAGGCAGATATTTCCAAGCTTTAGGAAATTTAAATAACTTGCTCAAATTCACAAAGACAGACAGTTGGAGTGGGGATTCTAATCCAGATTGGGTAATTCCAAAAATGAGTTTCCTTGACCACCCCCGTTATACTGCCTCTCAGAGTGTTAATTTCCTTTTTGTACTGTTTCAGATCATTTGAATAGTTGAGAGTTGAAAACCTGAATATGAATGAATGATTTAATTTCATTAGTCAATAGTTTTTGCTTCTGTATCATTTTGGAGAAAGTTTCAGTAAATCAAAATAAAAATTTTACATCACTGAAAAGCCTCAGCCCATTTAAGATCTGAGATAAACCCAAGCCATTACTTTTATAATTTTTTTAAGTCTCAGAAGTAATATCTTTGCAATATCTTTTAAATGAATATGATTAAATCTGGAAAGGAAATATTTTTGTTGAAATATGCAAAGTTGAGGTCATTTTCAATGTAAGGTATGGAATTCTGTCTAAACTACTTTACACACTTAGTATCTCCAGATACTTTTAAATATCTGTAGGCATTTTTAAATGGGTCAAAATGTAATATCTGAAAGAAGCAAGTGATAATATTTCAATAGTATTGCTTTAATTTGAAGAACGCTTCTTCCTTCCTAAGAACACAACTGTGCTACTTTTAAGACATGATGGACTCTGTCTTTAAACACATATATATTTTTTTCTACTGAATGCATCAAAATCTCTGAAAAGATCTCCGTGAAGTCATTATCTTAGACGTGAGGTAATGATGGATATAGCACCAGGCTGCTGACCCAGATTCTAGTCCTAAGTGTGCCAGAAGTTGATGCCTGTGTAAGCTCCTTAACTTTTCCAGGTACTTCATATTCTCATCTGTATAATGAATTTGAATAGATAATAGTATTAATGGGAAGAAGACTTTCAAATGATTTATTCTATGATTTTTTAAATAAATTGTAGAGATGGGTTGTTTTTTTGTTTTTTGTTGTTGTTTTTTGCTGCCTTTAAAAACAATACTTACCTAAGTATAAACAATACTTACACATGCATCAGGACTACAGGTTATTTTTCATTTCAGCATCAATGCTGAAATGAAAAAAAGAGTTATTTAATTATTCATGAATCATTTTATTTGTAGACTACTAGATCATGAAGATAAACAAAATTGGAACCTTGATTAGAGAAAAGGATTCTTGTTAAAATGTGGTTTTATATTGAACTTTTTATTGGTCATCCTTCATAGTCATTTAGCTTTACTATCCTGCCCTTGAAAAATGTAGTGTTCTCTGAAAACCAGACAAGGAAAAAACAAGTGCTGATTATTGAGAGTACACAGAGTGTTAAGGGGCAACAGAGAGCTTCAGTGCCAGGCAAGGATTCCCAGAGGAGAGGTCTAAATTGAATCCTGAATCTGGGTGAAAGATAGCCAGGTTAGAGAATGAAGATGGGGCAAGCCAGGGTGAGTCTTCATGTGCAAAAGCCTTAGGGTTAGAGCAAGTTTAATGTATTGAAAACAGCAAGCAGTATGGGGGAACCCAAGCAGGAAGAATAAAGAGCAGTGCTCCTCAAGGCTGGAGAGGGAAACGAGGGTTCAAACTCTCTTGATTAAAAAAAAAAATTGGACCCCAATTTAGAAGCACTGTAGAGCAATTAGAGGAACATATGAACCATTTTGTGCTTTACAAAGGTTATTCTGACATCAGTATAGAGAAGGGATTGGGTGTGAGGCATTGTGGGAAACTGGAGATGAGTGACCAGTTGGGAGGATGCAATCCAGGTAAAAAAATTGCCTAAATGTGCTTGGCGGGTGTGGCTCAGTGGATTGAGCATCATCCCATGGACTGAGAGGTCCTGGTTTGATTCCTGGTCAGGGCACGTGCCCGGGTTACAGGCTTGATCCCCAGTGGGGGTAGTGCAGGAGGCAGCTCATGGCAGTTTCTCACATCGATGTTTCTCTCTCTCTCTTTCCTTTGTCTCTAAGAAATAAAAAACATTTAAAAAACGATTGCCTAAATTTAAGTATCAATGATGTAGAAGAGCTCAGAAGGAGGAGATTGAGAAATATTGAGGATTGATAGGATTTGGAATATGTTTGGATGTATATGAAAAAAGGAGAAATTAAGGATCACTATTTTTATCTTGGATAATGAATGAATGAATGGTAATGATAGTAATAAATTTAGGCAATGCCAGAGGAGGTTTTAAGGGGACTATTTGGGGCATATTGAGTTTGAATTTCTTGTGGAACAATAGAGTCATTAATTATTTGAATTAACAACTTGGTACTATGGGGAGAGATCCTGACTGGAGGTAGAGATCTGGAGATTAAAGGCATATTTGTGGATGAGAACAGTTGGGGGAAAAGTAATGTCATTTAAAGTGAAGAAGAACATGAAAAAAATCTCTGGAAAACATAGAAAGTTAGGTGTGGCTAGAAGACACACCTTATGACACAGAATAAAAAGCAAATAATCATAGAAGGATAAAAGATAGAAATGATAATGGAATCCAATGATACTACTGACCTGGTGTCCTTTTTGCTATTTTAAGAATAATTTTGGACTTTCAATCAATAGTTAATAGTTTTTGGATATGAATGTTTTGCTTTTGTTATTTGTTAAATTAGAGCCAAGGTCTGACAATGACATGGAGAATGACAGACTTGTGTGAAACAAATATCATTTTCCTAACATCATGTAGTCTCGTATGTCTCATTCAACCCTTCTGTAAAAGGGGAATTAAAATGCTACCTAATATTTAGAATTGTTTTAGATTATTCTATAAACACTTACATACAAGGCGGTCAATATTCTGCTTAACAAATAGCATTGACTTAATAAATGCTAGCTATGACACTGAGTATCACAAAATCTAGTTCTACCGAGAGAGAGAAACTCTAGTAGATATGCCAGTTTTCCTGAAATACGAGAGAGGAAGAGAGAGGGAGAGGTAGGAGGGGATGAGAGAGGAGAAGACAGTCAATCTCCTCTTTGCCCAGTGTCCACTTGGCTAT